ATTTTTTTTTAAATTTTATTTATTTATGTGTGTGTGTGTGTGTGTGTGTGTGTGTGTGTGGCCAGCTCAGCCCACCAGGGGGCGGGGCTGGATGGCATATGGTGCTGGGGGATTGACCGCGGTCCCTGTGCTTTGCTAAGCTTGTTCTAAGTAGGTGCTTTAGACCACTGAGCCATCTCACCAGCCCCTAAAATAATTTATTTTAAAGAGAAAAAAAATAGAGTTTCAAAACAGGCTGTAGGGCCAGGCATGGTGGTGCATGCCTCCAATCCTAGCCCTCCGGAGACTGAGGCAGGAGGATCGTTGTGAATTCGAGACCAGCCTGGGCTATAAAGTGAGCTCAAGGCCAGCCTGAACTATATAATGAGACTCTGTCTCAAAAAGACAAAAACAAATGAACAAACAAACAAAAAACAGGTTGTAGGAGAGTTACAATAGTTAACACACTGAGTATTGTTGTCTTCATAGTAGTTATTCAGAGCACAAGACAGGCAGGCGAGCTTATCCACACAGTCTTAGCACAAACCTTTCTTTCAAAGGAACTAGGAGAAACTAGCTTTATAACTATCTTGTATATTTATTTTTTATTTTTTCCCTTTCTCCTTCCTCCATCACAGTTTTTAAAAAATAATTTCTTCATAATTCACAATATCTATTATAGATTTTGTATTTTATTGTTTAGCTTCTCACACTGGGGAGACAATCCCATGTTTACATACATGGGTCCGATTTATTTCACTTATGAGTATGATCTCAAGTTGCATCTATTTACTTATAAAGGTCTCCAATTTATCTTTTTTTATGCCTGTGAAGTACTCCATTGTATTAAAAAATCCCATATCTTTTTTATCCATTCCTCAGTTGATGGACATCTGGGTTGTTTCCAAGACTTAGCTATGACAAATTGTGCTGCTATAAATATATATTTCTATGGTGCACCATATATTTCAATAGTAGGATGTTTTTAATTCTTTTGGGAAGGTACCTAGAAGGGGGATAGCTGGGTTGAATGGGACTGCTAATCCTAGTTTTTTGAGGAGTCTTCACACTGATTTCCACAGTGGTTGCACCATTCTACACTCCCACCAACAGTGGAGAAGGGTTTCTTTTTTCCCCACAGCTCTGCTGACATTTATTATTGGTCAATTTCTCAATGCTAGCCATTCTTTCTGGGGTGAGATGGAATCTCAGTGTTATTTTATTTTATATGTCTTGAATGACCAAGTGATATTGAACAGTTTTTCATATATCTATTTACCATTTGTATTTCTTTCTTTTAATTTTTTTTTTTTTTTTTGTGCAGTACTAGGGATTGAATTCAGGACCTTGCGCTTGCCAGGCAAATGCTTATTTTACTGAGCTATCTATCTCCCTAGCTACCATTTGTATTTCTTCATCTGAGAAGTACGTGTTCATCTCAGAGGCCCATTTTTGGATTGGGTCTTTGAATTTTGGAGGGTCTGAGTTTTTTAATTCTATATATATTCTAGATGTAGGTTCTGTCTAAGGGACAACTGGCTATAATTTTTTCTACTCTGTGGATTGTGTTTTTACTCTGTTGGTGATTTCTTTAGTTGGGTAAAAAACTTTTTAATAAAGCAAGATCCCAACTGTTGATTCTTTGTAATATTTCCCTTGTAGTCTGGATTTTGCTCATGAAGTCTCAAAGTCCTCATTTTCTTTTTATTTCTGAGTACTGGGGATTGAACCCATGACCTGCACCATGCTAGGCAAGCACTCTACCATTGAATTACATGCCCATCCCTTTTTGATTTCATTTTGAGGCAGGGTTTCACTAAGTTGTGCAGGCTGACCTTCTACTTGTGATCTTCCTGCCTCAGCCTCCAGAGTAGCTAGGATTATAGGTGTGTGCCACAAGGTCCAGCTTAAGAGCCCTTATGTTAAAAGATAGAGGTGGTGGTGGCAAAGGAATGCTGCAGAGACAGGCATGGGGGTTAAATCCCAGCCTTGTCTGGTCATGCGATCCCAGGTGAGTTTGTTTACCCCACTGAGTCTCAGATGAATTCATATATAAAACATGAACAGCATCCTTTCCTTGGATAATCCTGGACCCAAGCCATCTCCTGGAGGGCTGCTGAGATTAAAGGGGCAATGCTAACACTGCCTGGTGCATATGAATTTAATGAGGGTAGCTCAGGATTACTTCTTTAAGCAGACTGCATTGCACATTTGTGACACCATGTACAGTCAAGTCCCTGTGCTGGGAGGTGGAGACAGAGGTTGATCAGTTCTGGAGGTCATAACCAGGCCTTGTGGCTCTGCAGCACAATCAACTCTCTTGTAGGCCATGGAGAGGAACGTGGAGGGGCGGGGCTTGCGAGAGCAATGCTCCCTCTTTCCGAGGGCCCTGACTACCACTTCACTCCAATACACCACACAACTCTTCAAGAATGCTAGGCTCTGGGCTGCATTCGGTGGGAGCATGGCATCGGCATCCGGTACTTTTCAGTGGGCAACAATGTCCCAGCCATGCCAGCCCATTTGGCATGTTATGATGTCTGGGTGTTACCTCCAAGTGAGGAACAAGATCTGACAGCCTGGAGCCACCCAGTCTGTCATCATAGCCCACTTGAAGGCAATCTCAAAGAAGGAGTGTGAGCAGGTGGCGGGGCAGGGGACAAATGTGCGTGTGTAGGAGGGACACTTGTATGTTGTATATAATGTGTTCTCCTTTTGTGGCAGGATTTCCCAGTACAGCACAATGTGTGGGTCTCAGCATGTGCCCCAAAAGCCCAAGAGAAGAGCTTTAAGCAGCCCGGGTGAAGATGTGAGGAAGAGAGATTGTTTGGGCCCAGGATTAGCAAGTCCTTAGCAGACAAGGAGACCCCGGGTGGTGGGGGCAGCCTGGAAAGCTGGGCACTTGATACTCAGAAAAGCACTAGGGGCCAGGCTGCCATGCCACTCCCCTCATCCTGCCAACCCCAGCTGCCACACCAGCCCCATACCCGCCAATGACAACACCCTGGCCTAAGCCCTCTTCAGCAGTAGCTCTCTGTGGGCTATTTGCAGAGGCCCTCGCCTGGAGGTGGGAGGCTCCGCACGCAAGTGCTTGACTTAGAAAGAGAGAAAGGGACATTGCAGCAGGTGCCTTCACTTCCACCCCAGCTCCAATTGCCTTGCTGGCTCCTGGGGAGCTCAGCACTCTGTGTGTGTGTGTGTGTGTGTGTGTGTGTGTGTGTGTGTCTGAGTGTAGGCGTCATCCTCACATCTGCTGCCCTGTGACAAGGGCCTTTGAAACCCCACAATGACGCCATCTGCCAGGGACAGCCCGGTGGCTCACTCAGCAGCACTGACCTCATGGTTGCTGTGGCAACCAAGATGGTGGCCTAGGCCTTTCAGAAATACCATCCGGCTAACGATGTCACAGGTGCCCTGCAGCAGAATAGCCCACAGGCCTAGGGCTTCTCTGGCCCACACTTGAATGGAGTGGACAGAGAGGCAGAGAAGGTGGACAGGATGTTGGTCAAAGTAGGGAAGAGAAAGGAGCCACAAGGGTTTAGTCCCTGGGTGAGGGAGAAAGGGTTAACCTCCTGTGGCTCGGCGGAACCTCTGCTCCCACTCAACAGTTCCCCTCGCCCTGACTGGGGTCCATGGCCTGAGGAAGGAGGCTGCATGGCCTTTGCTGGACTTGCCACAGTAGGCACCTATGCACCTTCTGTGGACCCTCACTCCTCACCCTCATGACCTACACCAAGGTTAGAAGATAAAGATCTGACCATTTTGCCTCCCTGCACTCCCTTTTCCTCTCCCAGTACCTGACCCCTCATTTTTCTTTTGGGGACCCCATCTCTCACAATCTTTGTGTTTGGGTCTGGGCAGGCACAGGGCCTAGGACTGGCCATCATGGAACTCTATTCCTCAACCATAGGAACAGCACTGGACCCGAGCTGGGACCATGCGAGTACTACCCTTTCTGGAATCTGCGGCGGGAGTAATGATGAAGAGGTGATTCCTTCTGGCAAATTCGATTTGAGAATAAAGCCAGGACAGAGAAAGGCAAATCAAAATTGAGAGAGCCCTCTTCTTGACAATGTCTGTGGTTGGATCCAGCCATGCCTAAGGTCCATCCAGCCAATTTTAGTGCTGCTATTCTGTACAGTTTTGACTGAAGCAGACCTAGTCACAGCAGGAAACAGAAAATCCAGGAAAAGATTCCCGATCTTGAACCACTACTAAAGGTATGAAGCCAGGTGCACTGGCAGGCCCTTGTAATCCCAGCTACTCAGGAGGGTAAGGCAGGAGGATCACATGAGTCCAGGAGTTCAGAGCCAGCCTGGGAAACACAGAAAAACCTGTCACTAAAAATAAAAATAAAAATAAAAATAAAAAGTTTGAAGAAATACAGAAGCATAAGGACCTCCCAGCGCTATATTTACATTTAGGCCTCAGTTTCCAAGTCTGCGAGGTAGGAACAATCACCAGTCTTCTCTGCTTTAGTTGGCTCTAGCTTATCCAACATCTCCTGAGCCTCTTAGCTGAAGCAGGACACTGTGACCTGTTCTGTCCCCAGAGACATCTTGAAGTGAAGGCCAGGAAACAGTACACTTGATAGAACAAAAATTTAGCATAGGAGGAAATTGACAATAGCCTGAAGCTGCCCCACAGGAAACTGGATCAGATACTGATGATAGCAAAAAGAGAGAAGAAAGTAAAAGTAAATGCTGAATCAAGAGAAAAGGAAGAAAACAATTCCTCTACCTGATGAGCAGTTAGTGTTGGAAATAAGGCCTGAGTGCAGCTACTAAGAGGAATTCCCATAAAAACAAAAAAAATGGAGAAAATCATCAGCCTGTCATGGAGCCACATGGGGATTGGTTTTAGGAATTGAAGGACTTAGTGGTGCTGGAAAATCTTCAGGTGACATGCCACTTTCACACACCTCTCAGCTTCCCTGGGTCGAAACTGCTTGTGTCTGTCTATCTGGAGCCCCGAGCTGCCAAGGGGCTGGCATAGCCAGCATAGGTGTCCCAGCCACTCACCGTGGTGATGAACCTGTACAGCGGCTGCCTTCTTTCCGTATACTTCACCGTGATGGGGCTGAGGTCATAGCGGAACCAGATGGCCGGGATGATGCGGCCCGTGTGACTGTAGGCGACGTACTCCTGGGGTAGGAGAAGGGAGGCGGCTGTGAGAATCAGAAGCACAGAGTAGGTCTGGAGGGGTCCCAGAGCAGCCCTGGAGGAAGGGCTTTCTCCCCCTGTCCCACAAAGCCAGGCCCCACTCCTGCCCACATGCCCTTCCCTGCCTTCAGCATCTGGGGGATAACATCTGGGGAGACATCTGGGGGACTTCCAGATCTGGGGAAGTCCTTTACCCCTTCAGCCCCTGGGAAATGGACCATGTGAGCCAGAGGCGGCCCTGCAATCAAAATAAGAATGTGAAAGCAGGGAAATGAAAGGAAAAGTGTCATGCCCAGCTCAGTCCTGGGTACAAGTGCATTTCCCCTGGGCCGTGCCAAGTTCATTTATTTGCTCAGTACTAGTCTGCTGGGCACCTCTGCTGTGCTGGCTGCTGAGGTCCCAGAGGCAAGGAAGTCCTTTCCCCAAAAAGGTCACAGTCCACCTGTCCACATGTGGGACAGAGAGACATGAGCTGAGAATCAGTGGCCAGCTCTCCCCAGGGGAATCTGGTAGCCTTATTAAGGAGGGGATATTCTGGGCCACATGTAGGAATGTGCGTGTGTGTGTGTGTGTGTGTGTGTGCGTGCGCGTGCCCATTTTGTGTGTGTGAAAGGCACAAAGGCCACATGGGAGTAAGCCAGCACCACCAGAAGAGGAATGACACAGAACTGGAAGGCAGGCCCAGCCCTGCCATTAGTCCCCTGAGAATGCACACAGCTGGGGCTAACGGATAATCAGGGCATTGGCTTTCCCCCCTCACCCAAAGGGGGCTGCAAGGAGGATCCACAGTCCCTCCAAACTGGGTGCTTCAGAATATGGAACACCTGGCCTAGGCTCACCTTTTAAAATAAAAAAAAAAAACACAACAATTTTTGTGGTGCTGGGGGTGGACCCAGAGCCTTGCGCAGGCTGGACCAGTGCTCTACCACTGAACTAAGCACCACATCTGTTCTCACTTGTCCACTATAAGCGGAGCTGACACCGGGGCACCCTAGTCCCAAATGCCTCCTCACTGGAGGCCAGCCTCACTTACAGAAGAGGCCAGGGCCAAAGCCACAGACAAGTGGAGCAGCCCGTTCCAGCCCCAGGGAAAGAGCAAGAGCAGAGAATGATCAGTTTTCTTCAGGGAGAGCAGATGGGGCAGAGTGACTGGCTGGGTAGAGGCCCAGAGCTGAGGAACAAGGAAAAGGCAACACAGCAGCAGTGGGTATCATTCGCCCAAACTACTACATTATCATTCACTAATGCTTGCGGTCTAAGCATTCTAGAAATCACTGTCTCATTTGACAGCAACCTCATGAAGCGGGTACCAGCAGCAGTTTAACAATGAGCAGACTGAGGTGCTTCTGCCACGTGTCTCAGGTCACGTAGCCAGCCATGAGTGAGCTGGGACTTGCACTAGCCCAGAGCACATGTTCTTTCTGGCCACAACACGTCTGTATCCTGGGGGCTGGCTGCTGTCAGCACCTGGGGATGACAAGAAGCTGCTACTGTCTGAATGACAGTGGCATTTGGAGGTGGGGCCTTCAGAAGATAACTGGGGCTAGATGAGATCATGCAGGTGGGACTGCCGAGATGTCATCAGAGTCTAACAGAGACTAAACTAGGGATTGAACTCAGGACCTTGTGCTTGCCAGGCAAGCACTTATTCTACTAAGCTATCTCCCCAACCCCTGAAACTTCTATTCTTTTCTACCACTTGGTCTCAGGTATTATAGCAACAAAAAATGGACTAAGACAGGTGTTCCCAAGAAAGAATGAATCAAAGCAATAGGACTGCCCTTGGAGAGCTACATTACAACATTAATCCAGGATGGATCACAGCAGAGGGGCCCTGGGTTGCAACACAGAGCCGCTTCCAGGTGGGCAGAGTCAACAGCTCCTTGTCAGATGGAGTGGGTGATGCGATTGAGAGACTCTGGAGCTCAAAGTGAACCTGCTTCTCATCCCCATTGGCTACCTTCTAGGTCTGTGACCTCAGCTTCTTGATGGAATCTATAAAATAAGGCTAACACTGCCAGTACCAGAGCTGTCTCAATGATGGAGGAAGACAGAGGCAGAGCGTAGCATATCTAGCCCATAGGAAGTACTCATTAAGGGCAGCTACTGCTCCTATTATTCTAGTTAATGAGCTAAACGCTGGCCTTGGCAGCCCTGGAATAGAAGGAAAAGGCACATGTAGGGGCTGAGGGGGGAAAGCCCACCTATCGGGCCTAGGGGAGGTGTTTCAGCCAAGCATTCATGTGCCATCAGCAGGGTCACCTCGGCAGAGGACAGAGGCTATCTCCCCACTACTAGGTCTTTCCATTCCATTGGCTCCAATCACCCTCTGCTTCCCACTGGGACCTGCCCGCACGACACCATGAGTTTGAGTGTTGGGGTGCTGGGACATCCCTGATGTCCATTGCCTATTAATCCACAGCTGTGCTGGAGTGATGCACCAACCTCCTGATTTTGGATAATGTGCTTATGTCCCAAGAGCTGGAGCTTGTCATGTGCTGATGAATCAAGGTCTGAGCCCGAAGGACCCAGACTGATGTAGGACCTCTGAGGCATGCGCAACCCTGAGACCTCTGGGGAAAGCCTCTCTCTGCCCTTTCTCAACAGATGATCACATCCTGATTATATTTTCTCCCCTAGACGCTGATGCTGCTATGTGGCGAGGACTGGGTCTTTTATCTTTATCCCGAAGACCAGTCTGGTCAGACAACCCCGCTCAGGAAAGAGGCCAGAAAGGCAGCAGCAGCAGAAGGGGCCTGGGGCGTAGCTGCCTGTCACTACCACTCTCAGTACCAGCAGAGGGCGCAGTTGCACCCCGCTAGCCAGCTACCGCTCACGCACCTTGTTGGCCACGGTGTACTGGTAGGAGTAGCGCTGCTTGCCGCTCTTGTCTTCGTAAACCGTTGGCACGATCTTCAGGATGTAGTCATGGGAGGCGAGGGCTGCGGGGAGTGCACAGCAGGGTGAGGGGGGCACCGTCCAGTTCTCATCCCCAAACCCTCCTCTTGGCAAGGGGCTCTTTCCTCATTCTACCACCAAGACGGCCTCTCTCCTCCACTGTCAGTGCTATTAAAGAGGTAGCACCAGCCCAAACGTCCATGAGTCAGGCAGCCAGTAGAGTCGGTGCCGGAAGGGACAGTCCCTGGAGGTACCAGGTTACAGACTCAGGCAGCTCTGTCCCATGTTTATGCACCAGCATTATCTAGAATAATCTCCAGGGAACTTTGAGCGGCTCTGGTCTCTGGGGAGGTAGGCGGGCTTTGAAAAATATCTCATTTTACTGCAGTGACTGGTTTGAATTGTTTTACTTTTCAAAACAACCTGGGTTTCACTTTTAAGGAGAAAGAATGTGCACCATCCAGAAAAAGAAGCACTATGAAGAACTGATTGGTTTCTTTCCTTGTGTCAGTGAATGAGAGATGGGGGTCTCCCTTGTCTCCCCTGTACTCTAGCGTAACTCTTTCACCCTCTTTCTTTCCATTCAGCCAGGATGGGGATACTGAGGGCCAGAACCATGCCTGCCTGACTCATCCCACTGTCCCCAGAGCCCTGCACAGGGCCTGGTACAGCAGGGACGGTGGCAAATGCTTACTGGATGAATGAGTGGATGGGGGATGACTGGACAAAGCATGAATGGAAAAAGAGATGAATCAGCTACTGATAACAATGAGGTAACCGGAACCAAGTGCTGGGCTGCAAGTGGCTGGCCCACAGCTGCCGGTGCTCACCCAGCACAGGTATGGATTCCCTTGGGCCTTCTGGGCCGCTTAATGCATTGCTTACTGCCTTCTAAGTCCCTGGGTTGAGGAGCACAGAGCTAAAATAACACGAAAAGTTAGTCCTGTGGGTTCTACTCTGGTCTCATCACTGAGTCAGCGCTGTTTGAGGGCTCATCCTCAAGAGACCTGAGGAAGGGAAGATCACAGCTGGCCCGGACATGCCCTTTCCTGCCTCTTCCTCTCTCTACTGTGGCTCTTAGGAAACAGATAGGGCTTCTGGAAAGGAGTTGATGCCTCAAAAACCTGGGTGTAGGGCTGCAGCCTCTAATCTAAGCCCAGGAGATGCTGAGGCTCCTGGTTTCATCTAGAGGTCAGAGCACCAGGCTTATCTGTGGTGGATCTCACTCACCCCTGGGAAGGCTGACTCAGTGGGTCTGGGAGAGGGCTCAGCCTCTGTGCCTCCACGAGTCTGAAGACCACACTTAACATACAGTGCCCATCACACGGGGTCAGATCTCAAAAGAATGGATGCAAGAGTGACTGCCTTACTAAAGTCATGCCTGTAATATTTTTGTAAGACTTTGTGCAAAACATAGAGAGTCCAAAAGGGGAAAAAAATATACCCTTAAACCCACCATCCCTAGAAAAATGATTCACATTCTTACTACACACTGCCAGACATATATTTATACATATGGTCCTGTTTTCCTCTAGTAGGATCATACTACGATTTTTTAAAGAATTGGACGTCACATCCTTTCAAATCCATGATGTAGAATGGAAGTGCCATAGTCTCTTTTCCTCCATGTCCCCAGAGCTCCGCACAGTGCCTAAAACACAGTAGGAGCCAGCTATCTGGCGCCTGGCTGCCAGCACGGCCCTGTCGCATCACCGTCAGCAGCTACACATATTCCATGATGCAGGTTCACAGCCTCCCCAGGTGGCACTGACGTGGTTCCTCTTTTTCACTGTTGCAAACAATGCCCAGTGAGCATTATTTTCCTAGATCTTCATACATACTCCTGATTATTTCCTTAGCTTACTCTCTGGCCGGGAGAACTGGTGACTCAAAAGGCGATGACCATTTTTAAGGCCTTTGATGCAGTCTGCCAGATGCCCACTGGAGAGCCAGCCCTAGATCACACCCACGGGGATCTTTCCTTAGCTGACCCATCCTAGAGGCTGCTGGCTTGAATCTGGTCCAGGCAGACCCTCATCCTCTTCACATTCCCTCTTCCCTTCCCTCCCACATCTTAGCATGGAGCAACACAAACATAAAGGATACGTAACGATATAAATTCCCACACTCTCGCTTCCCACATGGCCAATCATTTTGTGTCTCAACCCTACCACTGAGATGGGTTTTGAATCCACATTTTAAAATTTCTCATGCTGGAGATTGAACCCAGGGCCTTGCATTTGCTAAACAAGCATTCTGCACTGAGACGCATCCCTTATCCTAAAATCTGCATCTGTAAGCCAGCAGCATGTGTGTGCATCAAAACAATCATGCTTGTTCTGATTTCATTTACACCATTCGGGGCCAGTTACACCATACAGAACACAATTCCACGGGAGCAAGGTTCACCCTGGCTCTGCCCTAGGGAGTTCCGGAAGGATGCTGCTGCTGACCGTGGAGAGCATGGCTAACCCTGAGTGCTCACGATGTCCAGCTGCGTGCACTCATCCTTTTCCATGTGACTATCTTGTGGCAAGGACTCTCCCCACCTTACAGATGCAGAAAGCCAGGCTCAGAGTAGTTAAGAGGCTTTCTTGAGGCTACAGAGCTGGGAAAGCAGAGTGAGGGTCTGGAGCCCAAGGTCCTCCCCACACTGCCCTGCCATCTGGCATCTACTGCTGCACAGCGGCTTCCACTGCGACAGCTTATCACCTGGTAAGCTCTGGGCACTGGGCAGGGCCTTGGGGCACAGACAGAGTGGTGGGTAAGGCAGAGTCTCTGAGGCTTCTGTTCTAGTTGGATCAGCAGCCAAGAACAACAGAGAACTGAAAGAACAGGATCACTTAAGAGTGGTACATGCCAGGAAGAAAAGGCCTCTCATTAGGAGTGGGAGTTGCACTAGATAGTGTGGTCAGAGAGGGCCTCTCTAAGGCAGTGGCACTGAGCTCAGATGTGGGTGCAGGGGACCTATAAGGAAAAGCTCCAGGAGGAGAACTGAACTCAGACGCTGAGGAAATGAAGCTAGCCCTGCCCTTGGCTGTCTCGTGCCTCATCTCATATATTTTCCTTCCATGTCATGCTGAGATAGCTTTCGTCACTAGCCCAGAGCAGGCAAGGGCCCCTAGGGCCACATCCTCTATGGGCTCCCGCACTCTCGGGCCTTCCTAGCTTCAGTCTCTTGCATGGTGGGGCAGGTGAAGAGTCCATCCTAGCTGCAAGAACAGGCAGATGGCCACTGTGGAACAAGCTGCCTCATATAAGAGTGACAGTGACCATCCTACCACATACCGTCTCCTGGCCACTACGGCAACCAGCCATCTGCATCACAAGAAGGAGGCACTCTTCATGGGGAGGAAGGGCTCTGCAGGCAGCACGGGCTCGTACGCAGCTGGACAGCAAGCTGGCAATGTACAGAGCAAACAGCACACATGGTGGGAGATGGCACACGCCTGTCATCCCAGCACTTGGGAGGTGAAGCATGAGGATCAGTTTGAGTTCAAGGCCAGCTTGGGGTACATAGGGAGTTCAAAGCCAGCCTGGACTACATAGTGAGACCCTGTCTCAAAAAATAGAACAACAACAAAACCCAGAGCAAGGGGCACACATAGGAGAGGCATTTCCGCTATGACAAGAAACTGGAGACAACCCACATCCTCATCATAAAAGGATGCTTTCAAGAAAACAGGCAGAGTAGCCAGGTGGGCAAACCTGCCTCCCTCACAGGAGGACGGTACAAAGACAGTGGTTATATAGCAAAGCCAAGCACAAAGACCAGAAGGGAATCTGTGACCTATGCCCAGGAAGAAACAAAAATGAATTCTATTCACAGATAGGGACTGCACAGGGACACAGAGCAATGAAAAGTCTGGTTTCCCCGGGGAAGAGATCATGGATGGATGTTTTCTTTTGTTTGAGTTCCTGAACTTGGGAGAAAAAATGCATGCAGGTAGAGCTCAGGTGGAGCGTGAGCAAAGTCCTGGTGCCCAGTCTAACTGCACTCACCAGGGCGGGGCCTGTGGGGCAGACAGGACTTTGGGGCAGAGCCTTGCTCATGCACACACATGTGGGGCTGTGTCCACGTGCATGAGCACACACTCTTTTTTTAAAAAACATATTTATTTTATTTTTATTTGTGTGTGTGTGTGTGTGTGTGTGTGTGTGTGGCCAGCTCAGCCCACCACGGGGTGGGCTGGCTGGCATGTGGTGCTGGGGGATTGAACCGCGGTGCCTGATGCCTTGCCAAGCTTGTTCTAAGTAGGTGCTTTAGACCACTGAGCCATCTCACCAGCCCCGAACACACACTCTTCTGCTGTGTATGGAGATGGAACACCTTCCAAAGGGCGAAGACTCTGGGAGAAGCCCAGGCTGGTAGGAGGGCTTGAGCAGAAGGGTGAGCGGGAGGCATTTGGCTAGTTGTGCCTTGACTGGGCCGCCTACCTACTGTATAGAGCTGCTCTCATATTGCAGAGGGATCTTAAGGGATCCACTCCATTCAGGAACAGTGAAGTGGCAGTAGAGGCAGTGGTAGGAATGATTAATAGCTGGCATTCACCTAAGTCAGCTGATGTGCCAAGGACCTTCCCAAGGGATAGCTTTTCTTCCCACTCCCATACAATGGGAAGGCATCCACCTTCCTCCTGGCCCAGAGTGAGCACGCCACCCTGTGCCCTTTTTTCCCCTCCACCATGGCAGGAGTCTCCTGGGCAGAGGGCTGTCCAGCTGGGATACTCACGGTTGGAGGTGAGTCTGTCTGCTCCTCCGAGAGCGTTGAAAGCTCCATGGACATTCTGGACCTGTGGAGAGGCACAGTGAGGGTTGCCTGGGCAGGCAGCCACGTGCAGGCTATGGGGGACAGGCTGCATACCACCTCTCACTCATGTGTAAAAGGATCCAGCATGGTTCATCTCATAAAGGTGTGTGTGTGGGGGGGGGGGAGACAGCGACAGCTGTGTTCACTGTAGGCTGAAGCTTGTTTCCCATATTGAGCACCCAATGTATGCCACTCATTTAATATCCTTAAAGATGTACCATTGGGCTCATTGTACAGAACAACAAATCAAGGGTTGGAGAAGCACCAGTGGAATCCAGGCATTCAAATCCGCCTGACTTCAAGCTGAGCTCTTTGTGGGAGTGCCTCCGAGTGGGGCCTCTGACCATGTCCGCTGCAGGCTCTCCCCTCCAAGGCAGGGGCTACTGCAGAATGGGATAAAAGCCACATCCCATCTTTTCAGAGGATGGTAGGACAGGTCAGTCTCAAGGAGTATCTAAATTAGGACCTGGGCACACCCAGTGTGGAAAATACACCACCATGGGCCATGTTGTCAGGGACTCTCATACAAAACATCTGAAGGAAGCTGAAGTGAATCGGGCAAGTGTTTGCAAAGGTTCTGTGGCCCCAAGGAGGAAGAGGCTGAGATTTGGTGCTCAGGGGAGATTAGGGATAAGGCTGGGGCCAGGGTCCCAAAGAAAGGGCCGGTGGGTAAGGGGGATGGGGTGACCCAGCCCCACATGCTGACTCCAGTGGTTCTCTGAACACTCAGCAGAACTGCAGACCTTCAACAGTCAAGTGGAGGGGAAGGATAGGGAAAAAACACTGTTCATTTGATGCTGGGAGCCTAGAATCGGAAGTCCTGGGTTCTAACCCATGAGGATGGTGGCAATGAAGGCAAGAGAGCAAGAATGTTCCTTTCCATTGCTGTGTTGTTTTTTTTTCCCCCTGTTTTTTTGAGACAGGTTTTTACTATGCAGTTCAGGCTGGCCTTCAACTCACTTTATAGCCCAGGCTGGCCTTGGATTTGCAGCCATCCTCCTGCCTCAGCCTCCTGAATGCTGGGATTACAAGTATGTGCCACCAAACCTGGTTTTGGATTGCAGTTTTTATTTCATACTCATTTCTATAGTTGGATTAAAGTTTAACAGACATTTCTTTAAAAGGTGTTTCTTTTGTTTTGCTTTATTTTTTGTATTAGAGATTAGACCTGGGGTGCTTTACTACTGAGCTATGTTCTCAGCCCTTTTTTAATTTTTTATTTTGGGACAAGCTCTTGCTAAATCACTAAGCTGCTGAGGCAGCTCAAATTTGTAATCCTCCTGCCTCAACCTCCCAGACTACTGCCATTACAGTCATGTGTCACCATGCATGGCTGAGTCATATTTCTTGAAGGGACAGATGGATAATGGATGGGCTCTAAAGTAAGTTGTGTGTTTTAAAAAATCGGAATTCCTCCACACTAATGACTGGTCGTAGGGCAGCCCTGTTCTTCCATTCTGCACCTGCACGCTGGGGCACACTGCAGGTAACCGCAGCTGTGTGTTCAAGAAGACACAAAGAAAATGCGCTGCACAGAGACCTTTCCAGAAGGCATCTCCCTGTGCTCCTCGCCCCCAGCCGTGCCACCCTGAGTACTCCCTGCTTACCTGGAGTGTGTCCCCAAAGGACAGCTTGTGGATGATGTGTGTCATGTCTGGGTTCTGTGGCTGGGCTGTGGCACTGTGTGTGGACACATGGAAATTGCCGGGGACCTGAGGAGAAATGCAGGTTTCAGCAGGTTGGTTGACTGCCCCAGAGATGGAACATAGGGACTGTGTGTCCAGGCCGGGGAAGGCTACCGGGTCATAGAGAACCGAATTTCGATGTTGGCTGGTATCACTGCCAACTGTGTGACTCTGAAGGAGCCACTCCATGTCTCTGAGCCTCAGGCTCCTCAGCTGTACAGTGAAGGCACTAGTTGCTACCCGAGGAGGGTGCTGGGACAACTATGACAGGCACAGAGCCAGGGTATGACAAGGCAGCTGGTCCCACCCACCTCTGTGGAATCTGGGTCATGGCCCCATGGTGGGTCGGTGATGAACTCCAAGCCTGTTGACCACCAGTACTTCCTTGAGCTTCACAGCATAGTTGCCATGTAACTGCCTGCTCATCAGCCTGACAAGGGTCCCCAGAGGACACACTGTAGTAGCTTCAGTTCTTCCCTGGGTCTCACGGCCCTTGCCCAGCCTGACCAGTGTGGCATCACATCCACTGGGACAATCGGCTCCTCAATGCTGGCAGCAAGCCAAGTGGACGAAGCTGCTGTGCTAAGCACGAGCTGAGGGCCTCTGCAGGAGCTCTCATGACCGCCCTGTCATGGCCAGGGGTCTTCTTCCCCCTCTTCCCATCCCTCAGCTGCTTAGACTAAAGCCCTGTTGTCACGCTGGAACCCTCTCTTTCTCTTATCCCATGTCAGGAAATGCTATTGATCACATCATAAGTCACATCAGCATCTGACCATTCTGAGGCCATCCTGCTGCCCTGGTCCACGCTCTCTGGACAGACAACAACTGTACACTCCTTCCCGGGCATCCCACTGCTGTCCCTTCCCTCCTCCCCCCAGGCATTTCCTCAGCAGAGATGGGCGAGCTGCTTTAAACCCTTTGTCTGACCTCGTTGCACCTCAGCCCCAAGCTCTCTAATGGTTCTGTTCCTCGCCTCCTATATATAGTTTGGGTATATTTTACCCCCAAGGATTCAGGTACTAGAGGCCTGGTCATCAGAGTGGCAAGTGGCAGTAGGATCTCTGAGAAATGTGGCCTGGATGAGGGTTCTTAGGTCATTGGAGGGTGCTGCCCTTGGAAGGGATTAATGGGATCTTGGTTAGTTCTTAAAGGAGCATTAAAGAAGAGCAAGACCAGCCCCTGCCCCCATCTCACCATGTGACCCCTCTTGCATGCCTGCCTGCCAGCAAGATGCCTTCTGTCATAAAATCCTCTCTAGAGGTCAAATCACTGGGTTGCCTGATGTAAGACTGAGCTAATAAACCTTTTCTTCTTTATACCTCACCCACTGTAGCCATGGAAAGGTTGACTACTCACAGTCAAAGTCCATATCCTTGTGTGTCACAGCCTGGTCCCTGGCCATGCGCCTGCCCCATGCTCTCTGGCTCCTGTCCTACTATGCTTACTTCTGCTCACCCTGGCCTCCCCATGGTGCTGGAAGTGCTGCCTGGCTTGCTCCACCTCAGGGGCCCTTGCACCTGCCACCCCCTGCTGGAAGGCCCTGCCCCCGGCCCTCCCTCAGCTTAGGCCCGCCCACCTGTCTGAGGGCACTGGGAGCCCTGCACATACCTGCCAAAGCACTGCTTGCCATCCCCCACTCTCTTATACTCACCTTGTCCCCTTCTCTCTCCTCCCACTAGAAGGTAAGCTCCCTGCCTGAGGGGATTCGCTCACAGCTGTACTTCCCATACCCTGACTCATAGCAGGTGCTCAGCAAATATTTACTGAATGAGTGAAGGGCATTGAGTCCTTTGACTCTAGCTCATGATACAGAATAGGAAAGTGAGGCTCACAGAAGGGGAGAGTCTTGCTAAAGTCACAGGCCAAGAGCTGCACTGGAACTTGTGGGTGCGCTCCTCCCTCCCACTGATGCCCACATGCCCCTTAATCTCAGTGTCCTCAGCTCATGGTCACATGAAGCCAGTCTTTAGGAGGTATAGATCTGGAGAAGACCTTGGCCCATTGTGACACAGACTAAAACTAGACAAAGAGACCCTGAGGGACCCATCCTGGGCAAGAGGGCTGTGCAGACCACGGGGGCTAGGAGAAGGGTCCCCAACTTTATTACGGGTACAAGGCATGTTTGGGGGTGGGGCTTCCTTCCCAAGAATATCCTTGTGCTAAGGCTGGGGATGAGTTGGTGTGACTCAGGAAGACAGGGAAAGAAAAGCATCTGGGCAGAGGGAACTGCGTGACCGTGGGCGGGGGGGTGGACACAGCCCAAAAGGTTTGGAATTACTGAATCCTTAATAAAAAAGGCTCTGGGGGTGGTAGCAGGAGGAAACAAAGAAGCACAAGTGGGAGGTGGGGCTGTTCAGCAAGACCCAAATACCATGTGTAAAGCCCTGGGCTTATCTTATTCCAATTCAGCAGAGACCCAGTGAGCTGCCCTGGAGAAAGGACTGTGGCTCACAGCCTAGTGCGCAGCCACTACCAAAGTCTGCTGATCTTGTCATCAGCAAGTCCGCTTCTATCCGAGAGCCACAAGCTTCCGTAGCAGCCTGGCTTCCAGCAGGGTACACGGGGGAACTGGTGGAGGGGTGGTGAGACAAGCCGACAGGTCATGGGCTTGGGGTCAGCAACCACTGTCCAGTGTGCTGTGGGTGGGAGTGGAGGAGTGACTTTACCAGGCATGTGGTGTGGCCTGAGGGACCCCACAGCAAGATCTCTGCAAGGATCCGCATGGCCCGTTTCAGGGACTGGATAACTCATGAAAGAGCTGTGGCTCTGAGCTCTATGCTCACACTCAAGACCAGCCCCACTTCCGGGCTAGGAGGGCAGCAGCCGCTCTGCGCCTCTGTGCCGCATCACTACGGAGAGCGGCTGGGAGATCAAAGGCGGTGATGCAAGCAAAGCCAGTGGCTGTCTTTAGGTGAGGCTTGTGGGATGATCACGCTTGTCATCAGCCAGCGGAGAAGGGCCCTTCGGGCAGAGCAACAGCACGTCAAGAGCATGCACTTAAGGGTTCCTTCACTTCATTTTCATGGCTGGGACTGCAGTTTAGTGGAAGAGACCGACTTACTACACAGGAAGCCCTGGGATTCCCCACACCATAAGAAAGCAAAACATAAAAGGCTGGGTTTTCATTGCTACAATACCTGGATACATTTTCATTATAAAATCTTCCCATGATGTAGCCAGCAATAAAGTCCCAGTCACCTACTACTTGTAGAAGTAAGATACTCATGGCTGCCCAGTGTGTTTCTAGCTAGTTTTTTGCTGCAGTGGCCAACGACTACTGTGGAACATCCCCAGGCACACTTCAGAATCAGCTTTGGGGCCGCGGCCCCATAGCGGAGCTACGTGAGCCGAGCAGGCTGGCTCCTGAGCTCCCGCCGCCCGCAGCTGTGCCTGTGGGGCTGTGACTCAGGAACCCACTCCCGCTCCACTCCGAATCCATCACCAGTGGGTGACTCATGCTGCACACGCTGGGTGGAAGAAAGCAACGATGACACTTTTAGCGCCTATGACTGAGGAACCTACGTCAGTGTCTGATGGATTTTAAAAATATATAGCTGGAGCCAGGCTGCCTCCCCTGCCCCTGCCACCTCCTCCTGAGGGGCCGGGTGATTAAGCCAGGTCACCATGCAGTCTGCCCGGGCAGCTCCGAACACATGAACCCTGACATCTGGCTGCTGGTTGACTTCCTGATGGATGGATAAGGAGGCTGAGGAACATGTCCAATCCTGATGCCGGGAGATAAGGACAGCTGCTATCCTGGTCATTATGGCACACTGTCACTGTTGAGTTCCTTACCTGAGCTGTGGCTCCTCAAAGCCACAAGCCCCTGGGGGAGGGGGGGTTGAGGGGTTGGTTCATGCTGTCTCACGGGTTGGGGCAGAGATGACCTGCAGCACTGGTCACTGTAACAGAGACACTGAAAAATGTGGCCACAGGCCACTTAATGACAGCCACGTGCAACTAGCATGTGAATGAGCACATGAAATCTGGCAAGTGAGACTGAAGGACATTTGATTTGATTTGTAATTAAGTTTCAATCTCCTTATGTCACTAGTGGCTATTTGTTGGATAGTGTGACTCTGAAGCGTAAATCTGATCACATTCCTTCCCTGCTTAAAATCTTCAGACAGATTCCCAAATTCATCTGAGGGGTACAACAAGGATGATGTGAGATGGCTGAGCTGCAGAAAAAGCTCTGGGAACTCTTCCCAGCACTCCAGCCCTTGGATTGTCTCCTACAACCTATGGTGTGACTTGGTTTAATCCATTAAATGAAACAGAAGTGGCATTTTTGCCACCTCAGTCAAAACCTGAAAAAGACAGGTGTGCTGGTGCATGCCTGTAATCCCAGAGCTCAGGAAGCTGAAGCAGGAGGATTACCAAGAGTCTGAGGACAGCCTGGGCTACCTACTAAGTTTAAGGCCAGCCTAAACTACATAGCAAGACCCTGACTCAAAAAACAAAAAAAAATAAACAAACAACCTGAGAGGATTCTGTGCTTTATACTTTAGCATTCAGTGAGCCCTAAGCTCATGGAAGATAAGCCTCAGCCTTCTAGACACCAAACAGGGATTGTGGGAAGGGTGGTACAGGCCCTGTCTACAGGGAGTAGCTGATCCTTGAGCCAGGCTGTTGTCATTAGTGGAAACATGGATCTCGTGTGGCTTGAACTTCTGACTTTTAAGAACCAGAAAGGTGGACTTCTGATCTTTTAATGCTAGTTCTGATGTGTTTAGATGCCAGCCAGGACAAACACAGTCTGTCTTTGGGCCAGAAGTTGTCAGGGAGTTTGCAACCCTGGATTCAGATATCAGGTTTTATGGAAGGGTGTTCTCAGGAAAGGCTGCAGGACAGCAGGCAGAGGCCGGGAGCGGTCATTGGCTCATTTGGCTGGGCCCATGAGGGTTAGCTGCAGGACACAGTATAGCTGCACGATCCCAGGCAAGATACCCTCACTGGATACTAGAACTCTTTAAAATAGTGCTGTGCACTGCAATGGTACTGAGTGGAGCAGAGTGCAGGTATGTGCCTACCAGCACTGCTGGTGTCCCACGGCTCTTTGCCCTCCCAAGCATATGGCCCTCACAGCCCTAACTTAGGACAGGGCTATCTGAATGGTCCTTTGACGCTGACAAGGCTCGTTCCACCCAGCTCACCTCACTTCCCCCTGCCTTTATTCCCCATCCCAGCACGTGGCACCCACTGCAACGCTTTTTCATCTGTAGACTGCTGGTCTCCTTCCCTGGAACTTGAGCTCTACCAGCCTGGGAACTCTGCCCATTGTTTCACTGTGAAGCCTCTGAGTCTGGAATCGACCCTGAATGAAGGAGCTCAATAAAACTTTCTGCAGGAATGGATGTGCATTGGCTGATTTCATCCTCACAGGGCGATGCAGTGGGCAGTCTCACTCTCACTCCATCATATAGTCACCTTAAAGATGTAAAAATGTGAGTCTTAAGAGGGCTCTAGGCTACAAAAATGAAGGGCTTCTCACTGCCTCTCTCACAAGGAAAACAGTCGCCTTCTGAACCAGTGACAGGGGCTTGAAACCTCTGGGAGTACGGACCCCACCATGATTCTCAGCAGGGACTGCCAGGTGCTAGACACTGACCATGCACTTGCTGGGGGCTCTGTGGGGTCAGAAGGAGGGGACACTGAGTTCCACCAACAGGTGTCCAGGGAGAGTAGAGCAAGGACAATGGGGAACAGATGAGAGGAGCAAAGCCAGGCCCGGAGGCGTACACCTGCAATCCTAGCACTTACAAGGCTGAGGAAGGAAGACCACGGCAAGCTTGAGGCCAGCCTGTGCTACATGGTAAGTTCAAGACCAAGGCCAGCCTGGACTACATAACAAGACCCTGTCTCAAAAAGAGGAACAAGGGCCAGTGAGATAGCTCAGTGGACTAAGCGCCTGCTTAGGCAAGAGCAGGGACTAGGGTCTGATTCTCAGCACCACATGCCATGCCAGCCCACTCCTGGGCACACTGAGCTGGCCACCAAATCCGGGTGTGGTGGCGCATGCCTGTAATCGCAGCACTAGGAAGGCTGAAAACAGGAGGATCACTGAGTCTGAGCTGCATAGTGAGACTCTATACCAAATACATTAAAAAAAAAGTTTAAAAATAAAAAAAAAGGACAAGGAAAAAAAAGAAAGAAAGAAAAAAGAGGGGTACAGCCAGGGGCTTCATACCTTGTTGATACTGAATTGGCCCTCAAAGCGGCAGCCTGCACCATTGTTCAGCGGGATCTTCATCGAATTGTCAATGTGGCCGACCTCATGCCTGCCCATTTCATCCTGTATGTCGAGCCCAACCACTGCAGGAGCCAAGGAGAGCAGAGTTACCCTACCACAGAGACCGAGCCCTCGTTCCCCACACTGTGGACAAGAAGGCCGTCTGCCTCCTAGTCCATAGTCTGGGGTCTAAGCCCACAGAGAAAGTGAGTGGAGAGAGAAAAAACTGGGGCTTTGCAAAGAGGAAGCAACACCCAAAACATTTCCACTCCCTTCCCAGAAAAGCCATGATGGCAGTCGTGGTCAGTACTGCCTGTCAGCCAGGTGTGGTGGTGCATGCCTGTAATCTCAGCACTTGGGAGGCTGAGGCAGGATGATTGCTACAAGTTCCAGGTCCACCTGGGTTACATAGTGAGTTTAAGGCCAGCTTGCACTGCATAGTGAGACCCTGGCTCAAAAACAATAGCAACAACAAAATCTGCCTGTTAACTTGCTTGGCCTGAGAGATGCCTAGATTACACAGGCATACTTGGGGTGTCTGAACTGGTCGTGAAAAAGTGACCTTGGGATTGCGACTGGCCCCTGGCCCCTTTTTTTCTGCTTTTGCCCCTCTGCTCTGCTCCTGGCTACCGTGAGTGAGCCGCTCTGCTGTGCTGTGCCCTTTTGCCACAATGTCTGTGCCCAGCAGCCCGGTGACCATGGATTGAAACTGAACTGAAATAAACCCTCTCCATAAGATGTATGCATCAGATATTTTGTCCCAGCAGTGGAAAGGTGACATGAAGCCTTTGATGCTGACTGTTGCTAGACAAGGGTAGAAAGGATTAGGGGCAAAGTGACAGCTGAAGGGCAAGTGACCAAGGCTGGCAGGGCAGTGTGTTGGCGGCTCACTGGGAGCAGCAGGCAGCTGGCAGTAGGGATTAAGTGGAAGCTGCAGGTGTGCCCCTGGTCATCCACAGCCTGGCCTTGCATTGTGCCAGCTGTTTTGACAGGTACTCATCAGCTGAGCTACTTATTAACTCCTAAAGGCCTCAGTTTACTCTTGATAAAATGGGGATGATCATAACTGAAGCTTTCATGGAAGATTATAAAGATCAAATCATACATGGAAGAAAATACTTAAAAGAGTCTGATGGCCAGAAAATGAATAAATGCTAGCACTTACTCATTAGATTCCAGGTTCACTGAGTGAATGGGTTCAAGCATTCATTCATTCACTCACTCATTCATTCATTCATTCATTCATTCATAACGTCTTTCAACCAGTGTCTATTCTTCCTGAGATATACAAAGGCAAAGACCAAGGTGCAGTCCCAAAAGCCTGGGTGGTTTTTCTAGGTTCCTCAGTACATCAAATAGGAACCTTATTGGTGTGGCCTTGAGTCTGTCCCAGCTTCAACAGAACTCTGTCAAAAAACCCAAACAAACCAAAAAACAAACAAACAAACAAAAAAAGAATTCTGTTAATTCAGGGGGGCTTGGCTTCCCCACCTGTAATGCGGCCACCGCCTGCCACATGCCATGAGATGATCTGAAGGGCAAGCAGCAGGAAGATCTTTGCAAACTCAGGAAATGTAGAATGCTAGAAAGGAGGCTGCAACAGAGAAAGAACAGCTAGAAAGGCTGTTAAAGTGAGCCATCCATAAAAGGGAAAGAGATACATGCTCCTCAGTGGGAGTGGGGGAGTGGGCGAGGCATGTCTGTGGAAGGGTCTGTGATGCAGTTATGACAGATGACAGACAGCAAGGGTATGCAGAAGCTGAAATGCCATGCTGTAAGGCTAAGGTTAAAGAAGCTCGATCAGGTCTCAGTTCAACTCCCAGTGCTACCATGGCCACCCAGCCTGCAGACAGACCAAAGCTGCTCCTATCAGCTCTACCTAAAATCAGGACGACTAGAAGCAACCTAGTGGTCTGCTGTCAGGCCGGGGCCTGGAATAGCTCCCTCTCTCATGTGGTACAGAAGGTAGAGAATGTGCCAACTCTGTATGCGTGGAGAGGAGGTACAGCGGAGGGCTGCGGCTCACTGACCAGCAAGTTCCCTAACCTCTCTGTGCCTCAGTGTCTTCCTTGGTCACAGACTTCGAATGAGGATCAAAGAAACGTACAACAGCACTTACTGTGTGCTGTGTGCTCTTCTATGTGCCGTCATGTAAGAACATAGCACCTGAACATCCTTGTAGGAAAGGTGATGTATCAGTCCCAGGTGACGTGTGGGGAAACTGAGGCAGAGATCTCCCAGTTGAGAAACACGAGAGCTTGGACTGCTATTGGGGGACTCTTGCTCCAGAGTCCCCACCCTTTAGTCACTCTGCTAGACACCTCTCACCTTAAGACATCAACAAGCCGAGGATTTAGGTCAGGCCTGTCCAGAAGGGAGGAATAAACTAAAGCAGCTGCTGCTATTCCACCAACACTGCGAGGGTGGTAGGAACAGCCCCAAGATAGTAGCATGCATATAGTCTTTCTTTCATGTGTAGATGAAAGAAAAAGCTAAACATGACACAGCTGTCCCTTAGTATCCATGAACGATTGGCTTCTGGACCTGCAGAGACACCAAAATCCGGACCTACAGGAGCTCAAGCCTTATGTAAAGGGTGTACTGTCCCCCAACAACCCCCACACACCCCTGTATGCTTAGACCACCTCTAAGGACTCATCATACATGACATAATGCCAACCCTGCATGAATAGCTGCTCTAGTTTGGATCTCAGGTGGCCCCAGAGGTCCAAGTGATAAATGCTTGTTCCCGGGCTTGGTGCTGTTGGGAAGGGTACAGCCTTCAGGAACTAGAGTTTGGGGTGCTCCTGAAGGGCAGGGGCTTCCTCGATCTCTTTGGCTTCCCTGGTGCGATTGAGCAGCTCTGCTCCACCATGGTATACTGACTGCCACAGTCCTGGAGCAACGGGGCCACTTAGTCAGGGATCGGAATCTCTAAAACTGTGAGCCAAAATTAAACTTAAAATCTGTACCTGTTTGGTATAGATACAGTATTTTTCTCTGAACATTTTTTATCTGCAGCTGGGGAAAAAGGGGCCCTGCTATTATTACAGGCCTCCTTAGGGGAGGGTGGCACACTGCGGAGTACTGGAACAGAAAAGGGCATCTTTAGAGTGTGTATGTGTGTGTTCTGAATCAATCCCTCTTACCTCTCACCTTCTCCTTTCCCTCTCCCCCTATGGTAGTGAAGGCTGAGCCCAGGGATACACCCTCAGTTGTTTGTTTTGAAATAAGGTCTCCCTACATCACTAAGCTGTCCAGGCCAGGCTTGAACTTGTGGTCCTTCTGCCTCATCCCCCTAGAGTGCTGGGATTAAGGGCATTAATCCATGCCTGGCCAGGATGGAATGTGTGTGTTTAAAAAAATTCCTATATCAGTTTACTAGTTTTATAATAAAGAACATTATTTTTAAAAGCATAATATGAGGCTATACATGTAGCCTGACCTTGGCCATGTTCACAGATGTGCAGAAGGGAGGGCCAACAGAACAGAATGATGTCACCACATCAAGACACACTGTCATCATCAGTGGAATTACAGGCACTTCTCTGGATTTTCTGAGGTACAATAACAAGCATGCATTTTTGTCTATGATAATAATCTGAAGGTGGTCTTTCTGGTACTTGGGGTTGAACCCAGAACCTTGTGCATGCTAGGCAAGTGCTCTACCACTAAGCTCCCTGAGGTTCTTCTAAGAAACACTATGGCACTGGTGTCAGATGCTGGAGTGGGTTACAACATAGCCTGCAGAGCTGGAAGGGCCTGGGAGGCAGGGCAGAGGGGTGACACAGTCAGCAGCCCGAGGGCTCCTGCCCCAAGCTTGGCCTCTACCTGGAGCTGGGACACGGCCTGGAGCCACAGCCCTTCCTTTTCCTGCTCTGTTGGTCCCAGTCCTCCGGCCTAAGAATTTCCTTGCACCGGAAACAATCAGCTCCTGAAGGAGAAGCTGCCAAATGAAATTACTTTTCAAACAAGAAAAAATATTTTTAAAAATAAAAATAAATAAAGCTGACCTATTTTAACAGATTCCCTGGCTTGGGGCCTACAATGGATCCAAAATTGTGACATCATTCTCACAAAAAAGTTATTGAGGCTGAATGTCTCCTTATCTCTGGCTGGAGGCCCACCGGCTGTCCTGTCCTTGCCTGTGCCCTTTAACAGGAAGGGAGGGGGCAGGGAGAGGAGAGGAGGCCATACTACACTGTGTGCCAGGCAGGGAAGCGATGGCTGGGACCCTGGGCCCAGAGACGATGCCACATGGAGGAACCCCACATCAGACCCTCCCAGTAATCTCAGGCAGGAGGTCCCGCTACTGTAAGCTTATTTAGCAGAGGAGGAAATTGAAGTCACCTTAGTCAAAGTCCCAGTTTTGTAAGCAAAAGAGCCTGGATCGGACTCCAAATCAGATTGATTGTGTTCTATTTTATTCATTTATTATCTTAATTAAAATAAACGAACAGAACTAGACTTGATGTAAAAAGGAAGCTTCCAGATGCTTCCCTAGGATAGATAGCATTGGAGCCCTTCCCCAGATGGTGGTCAGACCCAGCTTTGGCAGATATTGGCTACCTAGAATCTTGTCCTCCTCCCAACTAGTGCCTGGGGCTCACAGGAAATCTCCTTGCCTTCACGGTTTGGGAGATCACGTGACTGCCACTGTTGCCAGGCACACCACCCTGAAGCTATTTGCCAATGATAAGGACCTTAACAGCCCAGTTCCAGTGCTACCAACTGGGAACAACTCTATTGTGTTATTCACATGGCTCCCTGTGAAGTCAGGCTTAAACCCAATGACGCATGCACATGCCTTGGGTCATCATTGTGTTCTGTACACCACCCCCCAAGCTTCCTCTTCTCAGTGAGCTATGTGCATGAGAAACTCGGGTCTGCTTCTAAGAAACAGGATCCAAGAGGCTCCGTTTCCCTGCACCAAAGTGGCTGCTCTGCACAAGTAACTCCTGTGAGCAGTGTGTGTGTGTGTGTGTGTGTGTGTGTGTGTGTGTGTTTTATTCCAGAAAAGCTCTGAAGAGTGGGGGCAGCACACACCCCCAGCTGCTGGCACTCCACTCTTCTTGTCTTCTTGTCCCGGATGCCTTGCCCCACCAGCACACGCAGATCTATCCCAAGGCGATGCCTTGCTGGAGCAGCTGTTTGAAATACTCACATTCGCAGTGCAAATTGGGTAAACTGATGTTCAGACTGACGTCAATTTTGCCCCCGCTGTCTTTATCTGGGTCATCAACATAGAGCTCGTTCACACTGAGGGAGAGACAAATACAGAAACCTTGACTGAGCAGGAAGCACCAGTTCTGGCCACAGGGGCCAGCCAGGGACCACCTCACTTGGTGGCTACATCATGGATGACCCAGACCTCCACCTATAAACCCTGGGCGCATGCAGGCCCAGGGGAGCGGGGCTCCCTACTGGAGCACACTCTGGAAATGCAATGCCCAGGAGGGAGGAATGGTGAGTGGGAGGCAGAACACACTTTCCTGAGAAAGATTCAGGTTCAAATCTTGATTTTGGCATTTTCTGAATCCATCTGTTAAATGTTGATGATACTGCTCATTACTAAAGGGGTGGTTTGAACATTAAAATGAGAAATGGGGGTCTTGCTAGGGCTCAGGGCCCGGTACCAGCAGCACACAGTACCTCCTGCCTCTTTCCCCCACCTAGCAGGGATGTCAGGAGATCCCTGGGAGCCTATCTGTACAAAGTTCTAGGGAGGATTTCAGGTTAGCAAGATGAGCAGACAGCTCCATGAACTTCTTGTGGTTGCTACGACCAACGATCACACAGTCAGTGGCTGGTGACAATCAAAACTTATTTTCCTATACTTGCAGCAGCCTTCTTCCTCTAGGACTTCCCGCCTCCCTCACACAGGAACTCTTGTGACTTCAGCCCACCTACCCCCCCTGGCTAACCCAGGGTCACCTTGCCATCTCAAGACTCTTCAAGCAATCATATCTGTAAGGTTCCTTGTGCCATGTAAGACAGCAGCCACGAGAGCAGGGATGTGGCTCTCTTTGGGAGCAGGAGATCATCATTCTGTCCCCTAAGGTTGCAGCTAGAGACAGTGTCACGATCTGTTAGCAACACATACTTATTCACCACTTCTTTGGGTACCTGCTCCCTGCCAGGTACCAGATGTGGCAATGAGTCACACAACATGGTCTGTGCTTCCAATCAACTCATAAATGCAAGAATAAGATATCGCTCACCTCCTAAATAAATACACTGCCACCAACTACATTTAGTGCTGCAGGGTGCTCAGAGAAGGGGTGACTGTCTTTTGGGAAGAGCTGGCTGGGAAGATTCTTCTGCCTCTGAGACATGGGTTAAGGCCTGGAGGATAATCGCTCCTCCAGCAAGCACCGTCTCGGCAGAGGACAGGGAGGGTCCCGACAGCATGCGCAGAGGCCTGGGCAGGCAAGGGCAGCTCATTTGTGGAACTAAATGAGGGTCACCAGGCTGCAGCATAAGCGCAACAGGAACACGCTGTGTGAAACAGCTAGAGAGTGTGAGGACCGAGAGGCAGCTCAGAGGCTACGCCCTGGGGATCACACTGCCTGCCTGAACCTACTTCTACCTGCAGGGAGAGGGAGCCACAGCCAAAGGGCTGGCCTCGTGGGTACCTGAACGGGACAGTGTTGTGCTGATTTCAAACATTTACTAGGATGAGGACCCAGAAATCGTGGTCAGTGGGCACAAAGTCAGAAAGGAGCTTTGTTGCTCTATTGCCCAGGCAAAGTAACTAGCAGTTAACCATAATATAGTATTTCAGATTAGCTAAGGGGACCATCACGTGACATGGATAGCTAATCTTATTTCAAATTAGCTAAGAGAGGGGGCCAGGGAGATGGCTCAGTGGAATAAGTGCTTCCCTGGCAAGTGCAAGGACCTGAATTCGATCCCTGGTACCACCAAAAAAATAAATAAATAAAATTTTTTTTAAAATTAGCCAAGAGAAAGGCTTTCAAGTACTACCACCACAAAGAGATGATAAATATTTGATGCTAATTAGGCTGATCTGATCCTTCCACAATGAATCAAAACACCAACTTGCACCCCAAGAATATATGTAATCATTATTTGCCAGTTAAAAATAAAGTTAAGGGGGGGGCTGGGAAGGTGGCTCAGTAGAATAAGCGCTTCCCTGGCAAGTGCCAAGGGCCTGAGTTCAATCCCTGGCTTGGCCAAAAAAAAAAAAAAAGCTAAGTGGGGCATGGTAGTACACACCTGTAATCCCAGCACACTGGGAAGCTGATGCAAGAGAATTCCAAGTTCTAGCCCATTCTGAGCAACTCAGAGACCCTGTCTTGAAAGAAGGAAGGAAGGAAGGAAGGAAGGAAGGAAGGAAGGAAGGAAGGAA